TAGTGATGTACTTGAGATAGGAAAATAAGAGATAGGAGGCTGAAACCAATTGTCAATTTCAGAGGACAGATCTGTTCCTGGTGTTGGATTGTTAGAGAAAGGGAAGACAGACTCATTGAACACCACATGCCGAGTAATGAAGATGCGATTTGTAGTAGGATCAAGACAACGATAAGCGCTTTGTTGATCGCAATACCCAAGAAAAATACAAGGTTTGGACCGTGGTTCCAATTTATGAGCTGCATAAGGACGGAGCCATGGAAAACATTGACATCCGAAAGTAGCAAGTTTTGTGTAATTGGGAAGTTTTTGAAAAAGTTTTTCATAGGGAGTACAAAAACCTAGAGATGTTGTTGGTTGCCTATTAATTAGATATACAACCGTTAAAAAGGCGTACGACCAATATTTTAGTGGCATAGAGGAGTGGTGAAGTAAACTGATCTCTGTTTCTACAATACGACGATGTCGGTGTTCAGCGAAGCCGTTATGCTCAGGGGTATATGGAGGAGTCCGTAAGTGAGTAATACCACAAGAGGCAAAGAATCTCCCTAGGGATATGTATTCACCCCCTCCATCTGAATAAACTATTTTAATAGATTTTTGAAAAAAGTTTTCTACAATTTTCTTAAATTATTGAAAAATTGATGTTACCTCGGACTTGCGGGTGATAGTGTAAAACCAAATGTATTTTGTGTAGTGATCAACAAAAATAACATAATAACGAAAATCATCCACAGAATTAATGCGTGAAGGACCGCAAACATCTGTATAAATTAAATCAAGGGGACCCGAACTTGAAAGGGAAGATTTAGCAAAAGGTAACTTGTGGCTTTTATTACTTGCGCATGTAGTGCACAAGGACAAATCCTTACTAACATCTTTACAGGAAATACCTAATGAGGAAATAATTGTTTAAGTGATGGGAAGGGAAGAATGGCCTAAACGACAATGCCATTTATTTAGAGAAAATTTTGTAATAATGTTGACACATGGTGATGAAGGAACAAGAACATCAGGCAAGCTGTAGATGTACCTTTATTCATATCCCGTAACAAAATTGTTCCTGTTTTCCGGTCCTTGGCAAGACAAAAAGAAGGGTGAATCTCGATTAGTACATCAATGTCATGACATAATTTGGCAACTGAAATTAAATTAGTATGAATAGAAGGAACAAAAAGAGTATTAGGTAAGGAGAGAGAATGGAGGGTCATATTCCCAACTTGTGCAATTTCAAGATTTTTACCATTACCAATAATGAGGGAGTCTGTGCTGGTATAATTGGATGCCAGGGTTAGATTGTTTAAATTATTGGTGACATGATTAGTTGCTCCCGAGTCTCATCACCATCCGCTTCTCCTGGTCGTGGCAGTATTAGCCGGGGGGATAATTTTGTTGTTCAAATATGTGCCAACAGTTGATAGCAAGATGGTTCGGTTTGCCACAAATTTGACATATAACAGCACCCGAACTGGTATTTTTCCAAAAATTGGTACGCCTGCCCCCGAGATTACTATTTCCACGTCGATTTGAATTGTAGAAGTTGCTGGGACGTGGGCCTCGATTCTGTATTTTGACAAAATTTTTAATCCGGGTATTGGGCCTGTTGGGTAGATTCTGAAACTGGGCTGATGGTCCTGGGCCTAATATAGACGCACTCTGGTCTGGAATCTTGCGAGCCGTCATTGCGACCGACCTTTCTTCTTCCTCTTTCCTTTTGACGGTCGTTGCGTTCACAATAACAACAACGGCGGAATTCAAGAGCTCCTTCCTTCTCAATTTGTCTTCGAATCTGACCAGTAAGGAGTGGAGTTCTTCAAAGTTAGTTTCATCTGGGCGGATGGAGTTCTCCATGGATTCAAACTCGGGACGAAGACCCTCTAGGGCTTGAATGGCAAAGTCTTCATCATCAACGGGTCGACCGGCCATGGCCAGTTCATCCGCAAGGGTGCGAAGGTGGTGAAGATATTCTGCTACAGGTTGCGACCCTTGTTTAGCATGGCGGAGCTAGTCTTTCAAACTTCGAATTCTGGAAGCTGACCAGGTCTCGTATAGGCACTCCAGTGTCTTCCAGACGGAGGCGGAGGTATTTGCAGACCCAACCAGCGGTTTGCAAGTGGAGCTGAGATACAAGAGCTTGCCGCACCAGACGATCCTGTCTCTTCCATCGTAGAAGTTGGCAGCTTCACTTTCTGGAGGAGAACCGATTTTTCATCATTATACTGATCCAGATGAGAACCCAACAGAAGGTCCATTACTTGGTCTCTCCATACAAGGTAATTTGATCCATCTAGTTTTTCTAGGTATTGAATTGGTTAGGGCTGAGCATAATAAGGCCATTCGAGGTTAGGGGATTATTGGCTGAGAGAGATTATGTTGAGTTATCATGAACGTCTTCTGGACTTTTGTCTCTGTTATCTTCATTAGCCATGGGCAGAGGTGGGCAGAGGTTGGTAGAGTAGTTCGGTGAAGAGAATAGGCCGATTAGGCCTCTAGAGGCTCTGATACCATACTGTAATTTAGAATAAGAAAGAATTGAGACTCAAAGACTTGATTTATTCCATGAAATGAATTGCTATTTATACAATATTCTAGGGATCAATAAGGTAGGTTACTAATTACTACCTCCGTCCCGCTATGATTGTCCCATTTTACCTTATCGGTCCGTCCCACTAAGATTGTCCCATACCAAATTTGGTAAAGTTTGTGTGACTCTAAATTGTTCTTACTTTATTCTTACTTTATCAATTCAATATCAACCACATAAACCACTTTTTATTAATTTGCGTGCCACTTCCTCTTGTCCCATTGTTAGCGGGACGGAGGGACTATAATATTAAATACAAATATTTTGTAACTGACAACTCTAATTAATTGTGTAACTGTTGTCTAACTTTTATTTGTCTAGACTCTTCTATAAAAAAGTATCTAGCGCATAGAGGACAACCTAAAGAAGCTAGATGAAATTGACCTCAGGGGATTATCTCATTTCACGGGAACACAGGAACACGGGCATCGGGCCATTTGTATATGTTCGCAAATAAATCAGCTAGGCCGTAAAGAAAGTATTATGGCAATAACTCAGAAAAGCTAAGCATATGGTCAAACACATTCTTGATGTAGAACATCACAAATGCGGTCACGTTAACTTTCCAATTAATATCAAAATCGAACTTACTTCCCTGCAGTTGCACCCAGAGACATGTTCCGAATGTTTTGTCACTAGAGGAAGTTCATATTGAGAGAACTCAGATTTAGGCTTGGATATGATGTTATCAAGAGGTTTATGCTCAAACAAATAAAGTTTTACACTGCACAAGACCTTCAGATCGATTTAGAAAACAACACGACGAAGGTCAACTTCACAAAGCTGAAGAATTATGCAGTCGAATTCGAAAATCATCCTGTAAACCACATTTATGACACTAGAGTTTATGGTGATTTACCTTACTTTTGAGTTTTGAGGGGGGAAACGGATCTTCAGATCTAGCAAAACTGAAAAGAATTGTTGATGGAACTTTGAGAGTCATTCTAAGGAACATGCACTTTGAATTGTGATGCATTCGACAGTATGAACATGCACTTCGAATCAGGAAATCTTTCTTCAAACGACAGAGATTATCTATGCAGAATTGCAGATTCTTCACAAAAAAAAACTTGCACACACAAGGGAGATTGCTAGGAATTTCCAAATCATTCTGAACTCCATACATAGACACACGAGCGACCGAGCGTAGAACACAATTGCACACAAAGAGGGAGATTGTTAGGAATCTTTTTATCATATCCAATTATCATTATACTTCCTCCGTTCTTTAATTCTTGCAACATTGTGATTTTTGCACTATTCACAGACCTTACTTTGACCACGATTTTCTACTAATATACATAACCAAATTATTACGTATAAAATGTTAATATAAAATATCAATGCAAGAATTAAAGAACGGAGGATAGTATGTCTTTGTATTTTTGTAACAGTTTAGCTTATGGGCCTTTTATGTATTTAACCCAATTGTATTTATTAACAATATTAGGAAAGTGGTGCGTCATTTTGCTAACTGTCTGTATCGCGATCTCTCGTACTGTGTATTGAGATCAGTCGCACATGTAGATGTACTGTGTGTATTGAGTGTTAGCTAAGCTATATCATTGTAGTGAGAGAGAGAGCCTTGCCGACACATTGAATACGATCTGCTCTCTAAACCCATATTGAATCCTTCGTTCTGCCTCTCCAACTGCATTCACTTCGTCCAGCATTTAAATTCTGCTGCCTTGATTGTTTGACATGCCCTTCAGTGATGACTGCGGAGGTCAGATCAACTAATTAGGGAGAATTCTCGGAATTGATAAAGATCAACTTCCAAGTGAAACAAGGACATTGCGTTCTTAAGTGGAGGTTGAAAAGAGCTTAAAATGATTTAAAGTACATATGAGTTCACCAAGTCCTTCTGGTCATGAATGTGTTGTGCCATTATTGCTTGTTTCTTAAGCAATCTAAGTGTATTTTAGAACTGCACTATGGCATGTTATCCACAGTGGCAGGGTTAAGGTTGGTAACTTGGTAAGTAAAGATATAATAATGTGTTCTGTATATACTAGGGCAAGTGGCAAGGAAAAAAACAGGGCTAAATGCAGACCTTGTTTGTTATGTTTTCTCTGTTTTCTTGAAAGCCTGACAGATGCTGAACCTCGGAACTGTTATTATTAACGGTTAAATCTAGAAATGTGAATAATTCAGGCATTCGGAGGATGAATATCAGCTGTTATTTGACTGAAGTTTTAAGATGATCTGTTTCAAAGGATATATGGACGTAGACTCTAGTGGTTTGTTTTTGAAATAATTATAGCTGCATTGTGTAATCTAATGCATCTGAACTTACACGTTTAGCAAACGATATATATAATTTTCATTTGCAAAATTTATTTAAGATATCGCTAACTCTTGTAAGATTGCCTATATGTTTCATTGATTGTTAAAACTTTCTCCTTGTTTTTGGCAGGCTGAAAATGAAGCTGATAGGATTGACTGGATGAATAAAATAACTGGAGTTATTGCTTCCCTCTTGAATTCTCATCTACATCGGGTTGATTACTGAATACCATCTTCCTTTTATACAAAACACGTATCTGATAAGGTTTGTTTGAAGTACTTTTATCTGCTGCAGGTTGACTCCGGTAAAACTGATGCCAAGAGTGGTAGTGTCAGTTATGGTGCTTGTGTTAATGATATATCACTTGACAGCATTGAAAGTTCACTGCCGAGTGTGAGTGTTGGTCAAGTTGACTCGGTCTCTAGAATTCTTAGAGAAATTTCTGGGAATGACAAGTGTGCAGAGTGCGGGGCTTCTGAACCTGATTGGGCTTCTCTTAATCTATGCATTTTGATGTGCATAGAATGCTCTGGCATTCATAGAAATCTTGGTGTTCATATCTCTAAGGTACATGTTTTACTGATTCCCTAATCAATCCATTTGACTTCAAAATGTAACTGATTGAGCGTGCTGTAGTACAAGAGTAACTTGCTGATAAGGTATGTAGATGCACCTCTTTGCCTGTTGGTATGTAAATGATGTATGTCAAAAGTAACTAGTACAAGATTAATTTAAAACGCTTAGACATCACACTTCCACTTGCAACCTTGATATACATGGTTTATATAATACAGTTAGGTTTTTAAGCTGATATGTTCCAAATTGTTTGATGATGTTATTTCCTGATTTTTATTATGTTTAAGATGATGATAATTGAATATAAGATTCCCAATTTGCGGTAGGATAAGTTATACTGATACAGATGAAAATTTGTTTTTATGATACTCCCTCCGTATTTAAAAGATCACTACATTAGGTCTTGGCACAATATTTAAGGGAGAAATAGTAGAGGTAATGAATAATGTAGAAAAACTAGGAAAGAAGGTGAAAAAGTAAGAAAGAGAAGATAAAAGTAGAAAATGTAAGGACAATTGAGTATTTTTAAAGGAAAAACTTACTAAAAGGAGAAAGTGCAGCAAACTTTTAAATACGGAGGGAGTATGCGAAGTATTAAGCTAAAAATTAAGATTTTGATAAGGATTCATACAAATGAATATGTTTTCAAAATATATTAATTATTTTGATAATAAAACCTAAGAACCTATACAAAGTTCATATCAGCTTGAAACTTTTTTTTTCACTTACCATAATCGATATCATGGATCGATTGATGTTAAATGACCTCAAATTCTTTTGGGATTAAGGTTGTTGTTATTTACCTTAGCAGCGATAAAATTTTATTATAGGAGTATTAAATTTACAAATGCGTTATAGTAAATTATGATTATATAGATGAAATTGTGCTTTCATGTATATAGATTTACAAATTAAGATCTTGATAGAGATTCATACAACTGAATATGTGTTAGAGATATATTTATTTGGATACTCTACTAAGTACAACCTGCAGGTAAGGTCAATAAGTTTAGATGTCAGAGTTTGGGAACCTACTTTAATGGACCTGTTTCAAACTTTGGGTAATTCATACTGTAACTCTGTCTGGGAGGGGATGCTTGCACTTTCAAACGATGGGTATGTTTCCTTATTTTGAAAATTTTACAATTCCAATAAGGTGTATAATACTCTATCATGTCCTATTTATATGTCCACTTTATCTAAACCACACATTAGAAAAGTTAAATAACATTTTTAAATTAATCATAACCTATCATTTTATCTTTCTTACATGTGCATTGATCTCATTTTATCCTTTTTATTTTTTTTACACTCGTATTTTTTATGTTCTTAATCTTTTTATATTTATCAGAAATAATGACGGATAAAATACTGTCACACTTATAAAACACAAAAATAAGATTTATTCTAAAACTGGACAAAAATAAAACTACTACCTCCGTTCCTATTTTATCTTCCAACCCACTTTGGCACACAATTTAAGAAAAGTGGGTATTGTGTGGTGGAAGATTGTGCAGAGGAGAGAGAAATGTGTAAGAAATGTTGTGAACCACAAGAAAGTGTAAATTTAATTGGAACAGACGAAAAAGTAAAGTTGTAAGTTTATTTAGGAACGGAGGGAGTTATAATTATTGAATGGACACATACACTTAGGGTTGTAAACGAATCTAATAGTAATATTATTCTTATTCGTATAAATTGAAATATTCCGCAGTCCTCCATGGCCGCCGCATGACCAAATTCCAAAGTTTCTCGTCTCCCTCATCTCACCTGCAGCCGCACATCCATGGCCGCCGCATCAGTCAAAGCTCTGCGACTTTCGAAGCTCCTCCATCGGCGCAGCACCTCCGTCGCACTGACGCCTCTCATCTTCGCTCCAGCTCTGCCTCGAGGTGGTACTGGCGTCTACGCCGTCATCTTACGTCATCGCCTCCACCGTCACATCCCACATCGTCGCCCATTCTGTTCTTCTCCTTTTCTTTTTTTCTGTTCGATCGATTAAGCTTTGACAAGATACATGGGCGAGGTCGAACACGGGAGCACACCATCGTCGTCCTCATTTCCAGATTTGTGACGAGGTTACCCGTGGATAGGGTTTTGAGGTGATAGGTTGGATCGGGGTGGCGGTGGGCGGCCTAGATCCAGATTAGGGCAGCTGCGGCTAGGGTTGGGCTGAGGAAATAGTGGGTCTGGGAGCTGGGGTAGAGGGCAGAGGTGGTGGCACCATCGGAGGCGACAGCCGCAGTGTCGGCGGCGAGGTGGTGGTGTCGGCGGCAAGGCAGGGTCAACGGCTAGTGTAGTGTGACATGGGAGGGGCTGGGCTGGGCTGGTTGGGAAGGGGTTGACTGGTGGGGCAGGGGCTGGGGTGGACTGGCGGGGCTGGGGCAGGGCTGGGACGGACTGGTGGGGCAAGGGGCAAAGAGGATATTAGGGGAGGTCAAGGTAGAGGCGATTACGGGAATACAGGGCGGCAATGGTCGGAGATGGCAGTGATCAATTGGTCACTGGCGAGGCAGTGATGTCACTGTGATCGGGTGGTCACTGGTCACTTGAGCAGCTCAAGTTGAGTTCGGGTGCTCGCTGAGTCGGTGGTCATTGAGCGTTGGTAAACTGTTACATTGGTCACTGCGAGTTGGAGTCGCCGTAAATTTGTGCAGGTCGGCGTCAGTTCGGTCACTGTACCATTTTGGTCACTATAACAGGTTACTAGGACTGAGCTTATTAAGGGTGTAATAGTCCTCTTAGGAATTTTTAGTCTCATTTTTTGAAATTAAAAGAAAATGTCTCCTTTTTGTACATTAGTTATTTTTAGGGGTAATTTGAGTTTGCACTCAATATTATTGTCTAAATTGGACTTTGCACTCCGTTTTTTAATTTTTTTTTGTTTTTGCACCCTATCCCATATGAAAATACAAAAATGCCATCAATCAGGAATAGGTTGAAGGTCAACAGAATTTTTAATGGAGGAGCATTTTAGTCTTTTCATATAAGGTTGGGGTGCAAAAACAAAGATTTTTAAAAACAGGGTGCAAAGTCCAATTTAAACAATAATATGGGGTGCAAACTCAAATTACCCCTTAGTTTTAAGTAATATTTTAGTCATAACTCCTATTTATCATCTTATTTTTTTATGAAGGAATTTGACTTTGCACCCCACTTTTTGGGTGATATTGGACTTTTCACCCCATTTTCAAAAAAGTGTGACTTTGCACCCCAACACATACCATTTTGTGAAGAAAAAATTTCTAAATGGGGTGCAAAGTCAAAGGAATTTCAAGTGGAATGGGATTCAAAATCAAAGTTTTTTCAAAATGGGGTGCAAAGTCCAATATCACCCAAAAAGTGGGTGCAAAGTCAAATTCCCTTTTTTTATCTCATCTGTTTTTTTAATCTTTGTAGCTCCGATTTTTTATCTTAATTCATATTAGCCAACCCTAAGATTTTTGGGACTAAGGCTTGAATGTTGTTGTAATTGGGTAACGACATAGTTATCATGGCGGTAAGTGGAGTCATGGTGCCAGCCGACCGTCTTATCGCCTGAGCGACAATTAGGCCACTAGTCACACATTGTATAATATATTATACTTTCCCCGGTCCTAAATAAACTTCACACTTTGACTTCACACAAATTAAGGCGACTAGTCCACTGTTGTGACACTGACACACTGTTTGGCACTATTTTGCACTGTTTTGCACTGTTTTGATGTAGATAATTTTCCAAATAAGGAAGGGAGAAGAAGTGTGAAGTTTATTTTGGACCTACCCAAAATGAAAAGTGTGAAGTTTATTTAGGATCGGAGGGAGTATATTTTATATATCTTTGTTCCATATTGGTTATCTTGTTTTTGTTTGACACGATTATTAATAAATTGATTGAAAGGTAAAAGTTACGGATGAGATTTGATTATAATGAAGTGAAATGAAATGAATCACATATTTCTTGCCAAAAAGGAAACAAGACACTCAATTTGAATTAACCCAAAAAGGAAAGTAACACAACCAAAATGGGACGGAGAGAATATATAATTATATATTATACGTAGTAAATAATATATTACTACTTAATTGTATATATCTTAGAAATGAAACTCACCATTAATAACTGAAAACAAGATTTATTAATGAAAGAATCACAAAAATATTACTTGGGAGATTTGAATAGACAAACATACAGGCATTTTATGTGGACAAAAAGTGACCTGATTACAAAGTAAATGACTGAAATATCTTAAAATACCCCTGAAATAAAAATATCTAATCTTTCCTACCTTGCCTCTTGCTCATTCCTCACCCATCTTATCCTCTCCTCCTTGCTCATCTGCGGAGCCTCTTTCTCTCACATAAATAGTTGGTTCCTTTTAGGGGTGGGCATGGGTCGGGTAGGGTCAGGTAATTCTAAAAAACATAAGAACCACCGGTTCCATGGACCGATAGGTTCGGGCCAGGTACATAAATTCTAATTGCAGGAACCGGACCTTACCCGACACGTTTAAAACGGGTCAGTTGGGTATTAGTCATGTATTCAACCAAACAGAAATTATGAAAATCTACAACATGCACTATATTAAATCAACAACAAAAAACAGCAACATAAAGTTCCAAACTTGCACAAATGAGCAATATTCCTCATTGAATTTGCAAACAAAAAGAAACAACTAATAAGAAACTGATGGAGTATATGGGTCTGAGCCCCAGGACCCACATACTCGGAAGAACAGAGCACAAGACAACAGAGTGGCGCCCTCGTCGGCCAAGACGCCCCCGTCGGCCGAGAAGGTGCCAACTCAGATTACGGTCCTGAGTCTAAGGGACTCGGGTGCCCTCGTCGGCCGCGTCCTCGTCGGCCGCGCCCTCGTCGGCCGTGCCCTCGTCGGCCACGCCCTCGTCGGCCTCGAAGACCTCCCAGAATCGGATCCTATACTTACTCATTTGTACAGCCCACTAGAGGCTTTGTATTCGGCCCAGTACCGGTCCAGTTGTAAATGGGCCTCCCAAGCCCAAGGCTTGGGAGCCCAACCCTAATTTTCTCTATAAATACTCCCCTTGGGAGTAGTTATGGGGGTTACAAAATCATTCTATTGAAGCATATATTGCACTTCTCTCTCTAGCTCTCACTTCTCTCTAGAATTCAGGAAATATACTCTATCATTTGGTGCTTTCATTGAGAGCTAGAACAATCAAGTTAGCACCCTTCGTCGCTACCAAGCACAGCTAACCACTGATCATGGGGAGAACTAAGTCAAACCGCAACCTCGTCAGCAAAGTCATCCCTGAGGACCAAGAGCTCAGGGAGCACGACGAGGACGCCACGGCCGACCAGGTCGGCGGAGGGGACCTCTTCCAGGAGGCCTTCAACCTCACGACGGACCTCCGCAACCAACTCAACGGCGGGGTCCCCGACGCCCGCCTCGGCCTGGAAAAGAAACGAGCTGAGAAGGCGGACCACGCCCCGGCCCAGCCTATGGCCGCGGCCTCTCCGTCCGTAGATCCTCAGGTCCAGGCCGCACTATCGGCTATCATCGCCAGCTTGGCTCAGAACCCCACCGTCCTCAGCGCACTCTTGCCAAGGACCGGGGGGAACGTCACTCAACCTCCTCAGCACCAACCGTTGGCCATCCAGATAGGCAACGATGAGGGGGTGGTGCCCCAGGACACGGCGTCGTCCCATTCCCACCTTGCTTCCCCTCTTCGGCCCGGGCAGACCCCAGCGCGTGGCAAAGCCTCTGCCTTCAATAGGCTAGGTGACACGCGCCGTCGTCCGGTTTCGGAGAAGATGGCGGGACGGATTGGTGATCCTCGTCCTGGCTCGCCGAAGGAAAGCTTGGGGTCTGTGTCCCGGACAGCGGACCAGCCCCGCCCGGACAAGGGCAAGGGCAAGTTGCACGAGGATGACGTGCGTCACCAGATCAACGCGGCTCACAACGAGCGCAAGAAGAACCAGCCGGGCGGCGCTACGGCCGCCAGGGACCCCCGGGACGAGGTCATCGCCCAGCTGGAAAGGAGGCTAGCTCAGATGGAGGCCAAGCAGTCGGCCAACATCCCTACGGCCGGCGCCTCCAACGATCCCGGCCTCAACGCGCTCATGAATAAGGTTAGCGCCCTGGAGAGGGAGCTGG